GGAGGAGCAGCAAGCCGGCTGGCAGCTGGACTGCTGGCAGCATGAGGGCGTGCAGGAGCTGGTGCAGCCTGACTGGCAGCATGGGGTGCAGATGAGGCTCAGGCAGGGAGCCGGGGCACAGCAGCTGGGCTGGCAGCAGCTGGGGGCACAGCAGGAGGGCTCGCAACAGCTCTCTGGGCAGTCATCCACCTGCCAGGGCTCGGTGTAAGTGCTGGAGCAGACGGACATGGTGGAGGCGGCCATGGCAGTGTTGGGCTGGAGGAGGTATGATTGTGTGTATGAGTGTAAGTGAAGTTGTGTGCATAGCTGAGGGTTTGCAGTGCTTATATACCACTCAAGTCTGTGTGTGTCATCCCAACCAGCCTCCTTCCCTGTTGTTGTTTGGCAGGTTTGAAGATGCTTATCTGGGCCCATGACTATCACTCAGCTTGTAAAACTCCCTCAATGTTGGAGTTCAGGGGTCCCCCGCACTAGGGTAGGGATGACACCATGTCTCCTGGCTGGATCCAGACCTGGTTTATTTTCTTGGGCTTCTTGCCCTAATTTCCCTTTGCCTTCTTGACCCTTGGTGTGACCACATGTGTATTTGGTCCTTATTTTGACCTGTATCTATAGCTCTGTGACTGGCTTAGGAACCATATTTGTTTGTTTTATTAGATAATAATATGTCCTGCTTGCTGGCAGCAACTATTCTGATCACATATATAAACATTATTTCATTAACTCTCCCAACTTCATAAAGTTGGTGCTATGGCTTTTCCTAGATGGGAAAATTGAGGTGCAATTAAGCCTTTGTGCAAAGCTATACATGCCAGATGAAGCTGCTGGGTGGGACCCCTCTGTGCCTGTGTCGTTTTTCATCCTGTTTGCATGACCTTATTTATTTTTATTTGTACGTGTGTACAATAAGACTTAGAGTCCTTGTGTACAGTGTGTACCTGTACACCCTAATTTCTTTCTTATCCCCATTCCCTCCCTCACTCTCTCCTTCCTCCATCTCTTGATCCCCTTCTCACTTAAGAAAGATATATCTCCTTTCTTCTGTGTCTATTGAGATTGTCATGTGATTGTTCTTTTCTTCAGTTTACTGATTTGTGAGTGTCGACATATATATATTAATTTTTGTATCTAGTACAGGATCTACAGGGTCTCACTACACAGATGGGACTCATAGCGATTCTTCTGTTTTCAGCCTCCCAAGAGCTGGGATTGCAGGCGCGCACCACCATGCCCAATTTCAGTTGCCATCTTAGTAGATCAAATCCCAGTCCCTGCATCTGCCTAAGGAGGTACTTTAATCTGCTGAGCTACCTGGCTGGACCTGTTGAACTATTTTTGCATACCTGAGATGAGGCCTGCTTGGTCATGATGCCTGATCTTTTTGATGATTCACTGTATCTCTTTCCAAGTGTCTTAATGAAGATTTTTGTATGCATATTTATTAAAAAGTTTGATCTATAGTTCTCTCTCTCTCTCTCTCTCTCTCTCTCTCTCTCTCTCTCTCTCTCTTTGTTGGATCATTTTATTTATTTTTATTTTTATTTTTTGGTACCGGGGATTGAACTCAGGACCTTATGCTTTCCAGGCAGGCACTTAGGCCTGAGCTATCTCCCCAGACTTAGATAGATCATTTTAGTATCATGGTAAAGATACTAAAATCTTCCAGTAATGGCTTTGGGAGTACTCCTTACCTTTTGATTCATTAAAAAGCTTGAAGAGGCTTAGTGGTAGATCTTCCCTGAAGATCTAGAATTCAGCATGAAATCCATCCAGCCCTGGATTTTTGCTTTTTCTGGTAGGTTTTTTGTTGCTGTTTCAATTTCATTCCCTGTCATTTGATTATTTAGGATTTTTAAATCTTTGTTCAGTTTTGGTAATTCTTATGTACTAGGAATCGAGTTGTTTCTTCTGAATTCTCTAATGTGTTGCTGTATGGATTAGCCAAATAGTTGTTAACAATTTTTTTTTTTTTATTTTGGCAGTGTTCACCTTTTTTATTTCTCTTTAAATGGATTTGGGTCTTCTGTATCCTTTCTTTTATTAGATTGACTAACAATTTGTCTATTTTGTTTATTCTTTGGAAAAGCTAACTCTTGGCATTTTTTTAACTGTCTCAAGTTCACTGATTTCTACTCTGTTATACTTTCCTTTCTTATCCTTGATTTTGGTCTGGATTGTTCTTATTTTTCTAGGACCTTGTGTGGCATCTTTACATTATTTGGGCTCATGATGTGGGCACCCATAGCTATAACCTTCTTTCTTTAGGCTGCTTTCATCATATCATGTATGTTTTGGTATGTTGTACTGGCATTATTCAGTTTAGTTCCAGAAACTGTGTCATGTTTTCCTTGATTTGGTCCATAACTCATTTTTTATTTAAGAGTGTATTATTTAGTTTCTATACTTCATTTAATTTTTTATTTTGTTGTGTGTGTGCTTTTTGGGGGGAGGAGGGCAGTACCAAGAATCCAACTCAGGACTTTACTCTTGCCACACAGGTGCTGTGCTGCTGAATTATATTAATAGTACAATATATATGGTGCACTCATTCTATTAGACCTTTTGCCATTGTTAGATTCACTGTATCTTTCTAAGATATCCTTGAGAAGGTTTTTTTTTTTTTTTTTTTTTTTAAGGAAGGGTCTACAGGGTGCTCAGGTTCTCACTATTAGATTGGACTCATAGAAATCTGCCTGTTTACAGCCTCCCACGTTTTGTTGCTGATTCCTAGTTCCACTGTGTATAACCTGATAAGGTGCATAGTACAATTTCAATTATTTTACATTTTCTTATGCTTCCTTTTTGACTTGTTTGTAGTCTATTTTGGAGAAAGTTCCTAGTGTGTTGAAAAAAATGTATATTCTGTTGTTGGGTGGAACACTCTGTAGATACCTAATAAGTCGACTTGTTCAAAAGTTATATTCATAACTCTGATATTTCTTTGTCAAGTTAATCTATTTGTACTAGTATTATTGTGGTCCTCCACTGTAATTTTATGTTTGTCTATTTTTTCAGTAGTACTTCTTTTATGAAATTATACATACTGTTTTTTAGTGCAATATGTTAATAATTGTTATCTCTTCCAGCTACATTGTTCCCTTATCCACTATGTAGTGTCCATTCCTCTTTTGATCAATTTTGGTTTGCAGCTCACTTTGAGTATAGGATAGCTAGATTTGAGTTTTTTTAATTTTTGTTGCATGGAATATTGTTTTCCATCTTTTGATTTTTAGTCTATGAATTTACTTTTTAGGTTGTGTTTCTTGTATACATCATACTGCTCAGGTTTGCTTCTTGACCTGTTCTGCCTGTCTGTGTCTTTTAATTGGGAAATTGAGGCCCAATTACTGATATTATTGGTAAGTATTGACTTAATTCTGTCATTGCCTTATTTTCCTGTTGCTGATTCCCTATCTTTTCCTCTACTTAATCCTGCCTGATGCATACATTATTTCTTTTTATTTTAAAGATTATAATAAAATAACAATAAGAATATATAACAATGGTTATTATATTGTTCATTGTTATCTTCAAAGTAATTGCTCAGATTACCAGATATAAGCAGGTAAGATTGGTCAAACAATATAAACACTAACTGCTCCTTTTACCGAACTAGTAGAAATTAGTAGGTTTTTTTTTTTGGTGGTACTGGGGATTGAACTTGGGACCTTGCGCTTGCCAAGCAAGTACTTATTGTACTGATCTATCTCCCCAACCGAACTAGTAGAAATTAATCGTACAATATATATGGTGCACTCATTCTATTAGACCTTTTGCCATTGTTAGATTCACTGTATCTTTCTAAGGTGTATCCTTTTTGTGTATGTAAATTTTTTTTTAGGGAAGGGTCTACAGGGTGCTCAGGGTCTCACTACTAGATTGGACTCATAGAAATCTGCCTGTTTACAGCCTCCCAAGAGCTGGGATTATAGGCTCTCATCACCATGCCCAGTCTCAATTGCCATCTCAGTGTGCCCTGGGGACGAGGCCTGCACATCAGGCCCAGGAATCAAAACCCTGGCCCCGTGCCTGCTTGCAGGTGCTTTAATCTGCTGAGCTATTTGGTTGGCCCTTCTAAGGTGTATCCTTGAGAATTATTTGGATGCTCATTTGGTGGTCATTAATTTCTTGATCACTCTTTATCATGAAAATATATTATTTCTCCACCAATTTTTAAAGATAGATTTACAGGATATCTGAGTTGGATGGAAAATTGTTTTCTTTTCTGTCTTCAAGCTCTTCATTGTAAATTTTCTTGGCCTATTTAACTCTGTTGTAGTTCTAGTGGGGTTTCCTTCATAAATGATTCATTCCTTTTCTCTAACTGTTTTCGAGAATTGGTTCTTTTGATGAACTTCCAGAATAGTGACTGTGGCGTATCTGGCAAAGCTTCTTGTCTGATCATGGCTATTTGGGGTTCTCTGTGCCTCACTGATCTGTGTATTAAATTCTTTTCTCTTTGTGTTTGAAAAGTTTTCATTAAGTTAACAGATTCTTTTTAATGTCATTTGTGATATCTTCTGATTTTTCACTAATTCCAGCTAAACTTAGCTTAGTATTCTTTATATCATCTAGGAGCTGCTGGATCTATTTTTCATATGCTTTTTTTGATGTATTTAGTACAGGGCCTACAGGGTACAGGGTCTACAGGGTCTCACTACACAGATAGGACTATAAGTAATTCTACTGTTTTCAGCTTCTCTAGTGCAGGGATTACAGGCGTGCACCACCACGCCCAGACTCAACATCCATCTCAGTGGGCCCCACGGTGGGGCTGGCACAGCACTGGGGATCAAACCCCAGGCCGCAGAGCTCTGTCTGAGCAGGCGCTTTTGTCTGCTGAGCTATTTGGCCGGTCCCCTTTTTGTTGTTTTTAAAGTCCCTCTCATTAATCCATGACCAACAACAGCCCTGTCTTTTAGTCCTGACACTCTCTTCACATTGGTTACTTCTGCTGCCCATACTTCTGAAAGAATTTTAAGCCTAAATTTCTATTGGGAACCTTTGTGTGGACTCATTGTTTTCTGTGACTATCATTCATGTTTTGCATCATTTTGTTTACCTCTGTTAACAATTTGTTAGTGTGTAATCAGACTCACTGATTATTTTATTTTGTCTACTATCTCTTTACTCATATCTTTTGTGAACCTCCAAACTGTCTTACTGACTTGTTTTGTTTTCTCCTAATATCATTTTGAATAATTTAGCTGTGTTGCTCTTGGTTTCCCCTTTAATTCCCTATA